GGAATGCGAAACGGTATAGCCATTTGGAAAACAGTGTGGCAGTTTCTCATGAAGTTAAACATACACTGACCACACGACTTGGCAAATCCCACTCTTGGGTATTTACTCACGAGAAATGAAAACATACGTGCACACAAAGACTTGTATGCAAAGGTTTACAGCCTTTATTTGTAATCACCCCAAACTGGAAACAACCCAAATGTCCTCCCTTCAACTGGAGGACTGGATGAACTAAGGCACATCCACACCATGGGGTAGCGGTCGGCAATCAAAAGGAATGAATTACTGATAGTGCAATAACATGGATGAATCTCACTGCATCTCGCCAAGTTAAAGCCAGACTCCAAAGGTTACATTACTATATGATTCCACTTACATGACATTCTGGAAGAGGAAAAAAACCTGTCAAGCCAGAGAACAGATTTGTGGTTGCCAGGGGTTGGGCTGGGGTTGGCTTTAGAGGGATCCCTGGGAACTTTTGAGATGATGGAAGTTGTCTGTTATCTTGAGGATAGTGGTGGTTAAAGATCACATATGTTTGTCAAAACTCAGACCTGTACCCTTTTAAAAAGAGTGAATTTTACTATATGTAAATTATACCTCAATGAACCTGAATTTAAAGAAAAAGCTTGTGTCAGAATTGTAAACAAGAAGGCATTTAGTCTCTTCCCTTCTCACATTCTGCTCAACCAATAGCACACACTCTTCCATTCCCCTCAAGCTCTTTGGTTTTCAAATGACATCTTTGTCCCTGCCCGTCCATATCCAATTTGCAACTATTGCCTGGACAAATGAAATCTGTAATTGCTTGGGACAATGGTAAATTATCACCTTAGTAAGTGGCAATTGCTGGTCTGGCCTAGTTCCTTCTTGGGGACTCCTGTGTACTCAGAAAGAGCCTCAGAAGGCTCCCCTCACCCCATCACCAGAATGCCATCAGCAGGTATTCACTGGGTTGAGGAGTGGCCACCCAGCATCCAAGAGAGCCATGTGAAGGTAAACAGATCCGGCATTTGCTCTCAGTGCCCTCTCAGCTATGAGGGATGCTCCAGAAATAGACTATATAAATCATCTGGGAGGCAAACACCGACAGAAGGCAACACTGGCCTCTGTGTAAATGGGATATAAATATGTCGCTGATGTGATCTGTTTCACCTTTCAAGACCCAGTTTAAGCATCTTCTTTGGGGTAAAACCATTTCTGACGGGCACCAGCCACTTTTCTTCCTCACCTCCCACAACAGGGGGGGTCCTCCCTTGACAGCCTATAGCTTCACACTGTGTCTATGAGAGGTTGCTAGAGCCACTGTGGGCAGCTGGGTTGATGCTACATCACAACTCTAAGGGAAAGTTCATTCAGGTCACAGTGTATGTGAAGTTATAGAGTTGAGCAGTGCACAACCTGTGCAAACTGTGCATGATGGTCCCGAATACTTTCCATGATTATAAATAATACTTGTTTCTTCCAGTAGACTGTAAACTCTCATAGGCAAGGACTGTGAGTTCTCTGTACACACACCTAGTACTGACACTGGCTGGACAACACTCATTGATGAGCAAAAAGTGACCAAAACCACATATCTACCTCCAAAGCCAGAGAAGCCCTAATCAGAACAAACCCTGCTTGCCCTGCCTTGGCTTATCCTGCCTCTAGGAGACACTAGAGTCTCCAGTCCCAACTCTCTAATGAGTCATGGCTAGATCCACATCCCAAATGCCAGGCCCCCACTGTTTGTGGCCTCTCTGTACTCTGTAAGGAGCAGAGAAGAGGACCAAAAGCCAGCAATTACCCAGCCTGCTGCTAAGTGCTGTTAGGAAACCCGAGTAGGAGAAGGTCTGTTTGCCCTCTAGATGCTCTCATGGTCCTTAGGAACAGGATGAAACAGGAGAAGAGAGAGAAGCCTGGGGGAGTAAGACCATGGTCCTGGAGTCAGGAAGCCTGGCTTCCAATCCCCACTTGGCCTCTGCGGCTGGTGAGGCCTGGGCTGCTTCATTCCTCTGCACAATGAGGGGCAGGTTCAAGGTGAACTAGTTCTCATCCAGTTCTAGCTTGGGTAGTGCATAAGCCACCTGGAACCCTGACAGCTCCACAGCAGGGTGGACCTCAAGGGGCCTGGCAAACAAGTCATGGAGAGATGATTCCAGAACCACTGAATGTCTGAAAAACACCTTTCAAGGGCAGGCAAAACCCCCAACCAGCTCTAATCAGAACCCAAGACAGATCTGCTGCCCAGAGATCCAGGAAGCTGGTGCATCACCGCTCTGGGGAGAGGGCTCATTTCACAGTCTATGTGAAGAGTTGGGCAGTACACAACCTGTGCCAATTGTGTGTAATGGTTACCTGACAGGTCCTGCAGGAGCAGGCAGTCAGGCAGATGGGATACAAAACTCTAGAGCCCTGAGCAATGAAAGAGGGCCACTGGGTGACAGCAGCTCTGAGGAGAGCCCTCGCTCATTGTGGTTCAGGACACACCCCCACAATCATGCAGGTTTCCTGTCTAGGTGGTGCCAACGCATCCCTAGGCTCTATGAACAGAGCACGAGTACTGGACGAGGACAGGCCACGCCAGGAAGCCCATGTCTGTTCAGGGCCTCATGGCCAACACAGAGCATGCCCAGAGGAACTGAGGGAACTCTAGACTGCCCTTTTGGCTTGGGGGAAGATTCCAGCTACCACCTTCAAATCTCTGTGGTTCTTATGGACCGTAGGATGGAAGCAATGTTGCTGCTAATAGCTGTGTAACCTTAGGCAAGTTACTTAACATCTCTGTGCCTCGGTTTCCTCATGTGTACAATGCAGATGATAACAGTATCTACTTCATAGGGTTGCTGTTGAAGAATAAATGAATGAATACCCAGGATGACTATGGTAAGCTCTCAATGCATTGGCTAGCCAGGGAAGGGGTGATGGTTTATGACTGAGGAGACGAACCCAGCCCGACACTGCCACAAAATCTGTGTTGGAGCCAAATCTGCAGCCCTGGGCCTCATTCCACCTGGTCCCAGCTCCCTGACACATCACACTGAGGCCTCAGCAATCTTCACGGATATTCAGCATTTCAAGCACTGGGACTGTCCTCATTGGGGAACCACCCGGGGGTGGCTTGACATATCACCATCAGGTGGGAGCTCCCATCAGCATCTGTCTCGCTTTCTCCATTCACCTGCCAGCTG